CAGGTTTTAAAACTTAAAGTCAGTAGTTCTTATGTCAAGTATACCTCAGTGTTTTATAAAATGATTTAAAAATTGAAAATAAATTTTAGTTAAACGTTGAGACTGTCTCAGGAAGAAATGGGCTTTTTGTCATCGAGAGCTGGGGAGAGACACTTACAGCCTGAGCCGGCGTGATCTCGGCAGCCAGCCGTGCAGGTGATACGCTGTGTGGGCCAGACAGAAGTGAATCATGGGGACGCTGGTCCTTGAGCACCTGGAGCAGGGCACAGAGGATCCAGAGCAGCCCTGTTAGAGCTCCCAAACTACTTCTCCCCCCATTTGTCCCCAGCTTGTCCCGCTTCCCAGCGCAAGTACTCTGGTACCCTGCAGTGATCCAGAGGAAGTACTTTTCCTTGGAGAGGGACAGATCTTTGTTCTTCTAAAGCCACCCTGGGCTATGATGGACGCTCACTGTAACTTAATTCTTCTGTGGTTTTGAAGGTCCTAGCTCAAGTTGGCTGTGTTCACGGGGAATTAATAGAACCGAGCTGGATATTTGAGATGGGTTGAATGTGACAAGGGAGAAAGCTTCCTTTAGCTGAGAGATCAGCTTCCTCCAGCCCCTTTCACAGCCTTTCCCCTGGGGAGGACCAGGAAACCTGAGTGCATCTCCAAGGTTGGGGAAGGAGGACCAGGAAACCTGAGTGCATCTCCAAGGTTGGCGAAGGGCTCTAAGCTCTTTGTTCTGTCCTTCCCTGAACGGCAGGCAGCTCCCTTGGGGACCTATACCTCCTGTTCTTAGCTTTATTGTTCTTGCAGCTCATAGCACAGTCTGGGGGGCGGGGGGGTGGGGGGGTGGGGAGCGGTGCCTGAAGCCTGAGGTGGGCGGGGCTGGAGCTGCTCTGCTGCAGCAGGTTACCCTGGTTTCCATGTGGGCCCAGAGTACCCTTGGGGATGTTGTATTCACCACCACCCCATAATACCACAGGCACTTCCTATGGGACTTGGGGGTAGGGATGGGAGGAGTGGGAACGAGCCTCAAGTGAACCCCGGTATCATCCTTAGGCTGATAATTGAAAGGTAGGACATTTAAATCATTCTTACAAATTAATTCTTTTTTTTTTTTACACCCCCCCTTAATTCTTTTTTTTTTTAATTCCATATGGAGCATTACTGACCCTTCTGTCCTTTATTTCTTAGCAACAATTAGCATCCCTCTGATCCCTACCACTATGCTTTGTTGGGAGAAACCTCAAATGTTTATTGAATAAGTGTTTCTTATTTCCATTCTCACTGATTACTTAAATGAGGCACTCATGACTTTGTAACTGGCCTTCCTGTCTTTTACCCCTTCCAGTTAATCCCCTAGCATTACCATCATCTGTATTGTCACTTTCCTCAAAAATAACAGCTAGCATTTATTTTTACACTGTGCTAGGCAATATGCTAAGCACTTTGCCATTAATCAGAATTAATCCTCAAAGTAACTGAAATTGGTTGTCATTGTCTCTATTTTACAGATGAGGAGACCGAAGACACATAATTAAGTGATTTGGTTAAGTTGGTAAAACCGTATAAAGGTTTTAAGCACCCATGTCTTCTTTTTCTTTTTTTTTTTTTTTAAGATTTTATTTATTTGACAGAGAGAGACACAGCTAGAGAGGGAACACAAGCAGGGGGAGTGGGAGAGGGAGAAGCAGGCTCCCCGCAGAGCAGGGAGCCCAATGCGGGGCTCGATCCCAGGACCCTGGGATCATGACCTGAGCCGAAGGCAGACGCCTAACGACTGAGCCATCCAGGTGCCCCATGTCCTATTTTTCTAAAACATTGTTTTTATAGAACCCTGTTGTCACTCCATTGCTCAGAAAACTTCAGAGGTTCTCATCGCCTAAGGGGTTAACGGTCACATTCCTCAGCTCCTCAGCTAGGAGGGCTCATTTCCATTCTGCACAGCTCCAGGTATCTCCCATTTTTCTTCTTGATGAGAGAGCCTAGGAGTCAGGAAACTGAGATGCTAACCCTGGTTCTTTCACTCCCTAGCTTTGAGCAATGAGCAGTGAGCGTTGTCCAATGAGCATAGAATCTGAGCAGGAGTTGGTCACCCTAGCAGTTGGATCTGAACACTATTGGGCTACAAATAAATGGTCCTGACACACAGATCTTCCAAGCATTGGCAAGTCTTAGAAGTGCACAGCGAGGTGTTGTATAGCCTTCATTTCCAGCTCATTCTCAACCCATTTTTTTCTCTGAGATGTTTGTAATACTGAAAAATTAGAAAAACCTACATGTCCAATGATAGAAGATTAACTGGAAAAATGAAATATCTAACAATAGCTTTTTTTTGGTAACAAGCTTAATGACTTTGGCCAAGTTTTTGTGTGTTTGCGTGGTGAAGATTTTTTAAAGATTTTATTTATTTATTTGACAGAAAGAGACACAGCAAGAGAGGGAACAGAGCAGGGGGAGTGGGAGAGGGAGAAGCAGGCCTCCCGCGGAGCAGGGTGCAGGGCTTAACGACTGAGCCACCCAGGCACCCCTGCGTGGTGAAGACTAAATGATCATGTGTGTGAAAGCATTTTATACGTCAAAAAGTGTCATACAGGGCGCCTGGGTGGCTCAGTTGGTTAAGCAACTGCCTTTGGCTCAGGTCATGATCCTGGAGTCCCGGGATCGAGTCCCGCATCGGGCTCCCTGCTCAGCGGGGAGTCTGCTTCTCCCTCTGACCCTCCCCCCCCTCATGTGCTCTCTCTCTCTCTCATTCTCTCTCTCAAATAAATAAAATCTTAAAAAAAAAGTCATACAAGTGTTTGTTTATTGCCATTTACTGTATTTCTACGTTAATTATAAAAATACCCTGACCTCTACAGGTCGTTCCCCAAAGTTCCCAAAATGCTTTCAGCAATTTGGCATCACTGGAATTATATTTATAAGCTCTCAGAATGATTATTTTGAAACATAATTTGGATACATAAGAATATTTTTTTTTAAACTTTACAATAACAAGGGGCGCCTGGGTGGCTCAGTCGTTGGTCATCTGCCTTTGGCTTGGGTCATGAACCTAGGTCCTGGGATCAAGCCCCGTATTAGGCTCCCTGCTCCGCGGGGAGCCTGCTTCTCCCTCTCTCACTCCCCCTGCTTGTGTTCCCTCTCACTGTGTCTCTCTCTGTCAAATAAATAAAATCTTAAAAAAATAAAACTTTATAATAACAAAATAGTTTTTTGATGGTTCATAAGCAGTGTTTATCAAAAAAATAACTCAGAACTGAGTGATTTGACTTTGAGGACTGGAAAGGTTCATTGTGTCAGGGAGCAAGAATTCCTATCCTCTCAGGTCTTTCTAGCTTAGGGACTAAGAATCAAATCGACATGAGATAGAGAAAGAGGAGAAAATCAAATTTAATAGAGTACATATGGGGAATCCACATAGACATGGAAATTCCAAAGACAGGCAAAATGAGGCATATTATGTCATTCTGAACTAAGGCGAAGAGAGTGGAGGTCTGGGATTTCAGAGGAAAGGAATGCCCCTCACAGGGCGGCAAGAAGAGCAGATGTTTGGTAATTAGATGTTTGCCCTGCCATACAGATGGGTCCCTTAGATAAAATTTATCTCTGCTAATAACCCTTATTCTGGGAAAGACCCCAATTTAGATTCTTCCATGTAATTAAGGGAGGGGCAAAACTTTCTCTTGAGCCTGCAGGGTCTCAGATGCCTTCCACTCAAAATAATCTGCATGCCAAAGTGGCACATTCTGAACCCCTTCAGCTGACTCCCAGCACAATGAATGAAAAAGACCCCCACGAAGATAAAACATTATGCCATTTCAGAGCACTGGGGGTAAAGAGGACATCCCACAAATCTGCCAAAAAGAAGAAAGTCATGTAAAAAAAGAACAAGAGTCAGAATGGTGTTAGACTTCCAACAGCAGGGTTGGATGCTGGGAAACAATGAAGAAATGCATTCCTAATTTTATTCTTCTTCTTCTTCTTATTTTTAAAGATTTTATTTATTTGACAGAGAGAGACACAGTGAGAGAGAGCACGAGCAGGGGGAGTGGGAGAGGGAGAGGCAGGCTTCCCGCCGAGCAGGGAGCCCGATGCGGGGCTCGATCCGGGACTCGATCCCAGGACCCTGGGATCACGACCCGAGCCGGAGGCAGACGCTGAACGACTGAGCCACCCAGGCGCCCCTATTCTTCTTATTTTTTAAAGAATTTATTTATTAGATCAAGCAGGGGGAGGGACAGGGGAAGAGGGAGAAGCAGATTCCCGGAGGAGCAGGGAGCCCGACACAGGGCTGGATCCCAGGACCCTGGGATCATGACCTGAGCCGAAGGCAGACGCTTAACTGACTGAGCCACCCAGGCGCCCCAGACTACTGTTTTGAAGGACAGGTTGTTGGGGAGTCCTATTTATTTGGTAGTTGATAATGTCATTGTATCAGTTAACTGTGACCCCAGTAGTGCATCACAAAACCTCGGCAGCATACAATAATAAACATTAATTTTTGCTCATGAGTCGAGGGTCAGCTTGTGGGTTTGTTGATACAAGCCCGGCTCAGCTGATCTCGCTGGGCCTTGCCTGTGTGTCCGAGCGTGTCATCTGTGGTTTGGCTGGTGCAGGATGGCCCCCGCCGCATAGCTGGTGTGGTTGGCTGTCCAGCAGCGGGAGTACAATCTCTCTCCCAGGCGGTCTGTCATCCTCCATCAGGCTGGCCCTGGCTTGTTTTCATGGCAGAGGTAGGAGTCCAGAAGAGTGTGGAAGTGTGCAAAGCCTCAAAGGCCTGGCTCAGAACCAGCACACCGTCATGTCTGCTACATTGTTTTGTCCAAAGCAAGTCACAAAGAGGGGGAAGGAGATCCCATCCCTGTACAGCAGGAGCTGCAAATGCACCCTGAAAAGGAAGGGTGGAGGATGGGGCTGTCTTTGTCATTGAAGCCACAGGCTTTTGTCCATCCACTTGGAAGGTGGAAGGACATCTAAAGACCTAGAACTGAACTTGTTTCCTTTTTCCTTTGCAGACCACAAGCAAAGTGTCAGAGTTTTCCATTCAGATCAAGAACTTCAAATTCCTAGCATGGAAAATTCAGAGAAGACAGAAGTGGTTCTCCTTGCTTGTGGTTCCTTTAATCCTATCACCAACATGCACCTCCGGCTATTTGAGCTGGCCAAAGACTACATGAATGAAACAGGTAGGAACAGTAGCCAGGACACTACCCCAAAATATGGCACTCTGGCTTGTTGGGTATTTTAAGCTGAAGGAGTTTGAAAAAATGGCAGAACCAGGAAGGTCCCTCTGACCTCCTCCAAACCATTCTCCCCTGAAGCAGCTCATAAAATCTTGATGTGAGAAGTGCCCTCCGTATACTGGGAGGAAAGGAGCATCCTTATTGCTAAAGACAGAGCGATGCCTGGAAGAATCTAAACTCATGGGCCTTGCCAAATTTCCCTGAGTTTACTACCCTTCCCTTGCACTCTTTGCCCTATCATATTTCTCAACGACTGTCCACTCTTCACTAAACCTGGCATAAAAATAGGTTTAACTGTTTCTTGGGGTCTTCATTTCCTAATGAAGGCACCCGTGTCACATAAACCTTCTATTAAATAAATTTCTACATTTTTCTTCTGTTTTTCTGTTTTTGTCAGTTTAATTTTCAGACCCAGCCAGGGACCCAAGGAGGGTTGAGGAAAACTATTACCTTCCCTACACAGTATGTTTTGTTTCATAAATGATCATGCATATGCTGCTAGATAGATGGATGGTTGCTCAGACTCACTAATAATCCTAATAATCAGGGAACTAAGATAAAAAAATGAGATCTGTTTTGCCCATCACATCGACAAAAATGTTTAAATTTGATAGTGTCAAGTATCAGAGGTTGGGGAGAAATGGGCTCTTACATACACTGTAGGTGGACAGTACAAATTGATTAAGGCTTTTTACAAGGCAATTTGGCAATATCAAAACTTCTCTTGTGTAGGGGGTTGGGGAGTTAGTGTTTCATGGGGTCACAGTTTCAGTTGGAGAAGATGAGAAAGTTCTGGAGATGGATGGTGGTGGGGACTGCACAACAGTGTGAATGTGCTTGATGCCACTGAACTGTGCACTTAAAACGGTGAATTTTATGTTCTGTCTGTTTCACCTTGTTTGTAAATGAATGTATGAATGAACCTGAATCCCTGTTTTGAAAAGGGGGGTCTGTTATAAAACCATATTGATGATAATATTTCCTGTGCATAAAATCTAACTTGTTACACCTCACATCAAATCTGACTCTTTATCCAGGAAAATACAGAGTTATCAAAGGCATAATCTCTCCTGTTGGCGATGCATATAAGAAGAAAGGACTCATCTCTGCCCACCACCGAGTTATCATGGCAGAACTCGCCACCAAGAATTCAGAATGGGTGGAAGTTGACACCTGGGAAAGTCTTCAGAAGGAATGGGTAGAGACTGCTAAGGTGCTAAGGTATTCATGGTGAAATCAGCTTTGTCAGTTCTTCAGAAATGGGTTAGGGGCTTTTTGCCATGTTCCAGTGCTGCCTGTGTCTGTGAAATACAGATTTGCAAACTGTGACTCGGGTCGGGAGGGCTTCCCACATTCGGTGATTTCTTGGGTGTAGAGCACACAGCCGCAGAGCATGGGGGTACCTTAGACTTTATGCCTTTCATCATGTTCTGAGCTGCTTGCATGCTTGTTACTGTACCTCTGCGAGAGAGAATACAGAGAAAAGCCTGCCTGGCCTGTCTGTGCCCCAGACGAGAAAGGCAAAGTTGTAAGATGTCGTTAATCTTTTTTTTTTTTTTTAAGATTTTATTTATTTATTTGACAGAGCGAGAGAGCACAAGCAGGGGGAACAGTAGAGGGAGAGGGAGAAGCAAGCTCCCCAACGAGCAGGGAGCCCTATGTGGGGCTCGATCCCAGGACCCTGGGATCATGACCTGAGCCGAAGGCAGATGTGTAACCATCTGAGCCACCCAGGTGCCCCTTGTCGTTAATCTTTTAAGTAGAAAAGAGAGAGGCAGGTAATTTAAGCGAGAGAAGCCGTGGTGCTTGGTCATGGATGGCCCTGATTTTACATGCTGCTTCTGTGACCACATATGGGGGTTGTCCCAGATCTCTGTGCTCTCACCTTTGAAACAGTTCCAGGGGAGGATTCAGAAACTAGAGGGAGTGACATCTAATTATTACTAATATTATCTTGGGTATCAGAGAACTTTCTGAAAAACCTTCATGTCTAATGTCTGTTCTTAGAGTTCTGATTCCTTTGGTTCTAAACATATCAGATAGGGTTTCAACAGGAAATAGAGACGATTCTGAGTGTTTCTTGTTTTTGCTTTTTTAAAGGTTTTATTTATTTGTTTATATGAGGGAGAGAGTACGAGTTGGGGGAGGAGCAGAGGGAGAGAGAGAACCCTCAAGCAGACTCCGTGCTGAGCATGGAGGCAGCTGTGGGGCTCGATCCCCCGACCCTGAGATCACAACCTCAGCCAGAATCAGGAGTCGGGCGCTCAACTGACTGAGCCAGGCGCCCCAAAAGCAGAAAGGGATTTAGGTGCTCGTGCGGAAGTGTCAAGGGGCTGGCAGCAGGGAAGTCGGGCCTGTTCCAAGGTCATACCTCCTTAGCTGCAGTCAGTGTTCAGGAAGCTGTTCCTGCCTCTGCCACCGCAAATACTGCTGTTCACCTGTCCCAGTCTCCTAGAGTTGGCGACTAGACAGTGGAATATGGAGTCTGGCCACCAGGCTCATGCCGTAAGAGATGCTTCTCAGGCTCCACAGCCCAGAAAGATGGCCTCTGCCTCCCTTCTTCCTTCCGAGTCTCTCGTGAGTGAATCTCATCCGCAGAATCTCTGTCACATCGAGAACGTGCCGCAAGGACCTCTGGGAAGTGTGTTTAGGGCAGGATTGGACACTGAGCCAGCAGACAGTATGCAGCACTTAAGAAGAGGAGGGACTTTTCAGGCTTGGCAGGGAAGAGTCCGCCCCCTTCACTGGCCAGCAGTTCTCCCATCAAACAGCAGGCTTCTGCATGCCCAGCTTACCCAGCCTTCCCTCTCTGGCTCCACAGCAGTCGTACTGTCCATTCCATATTAACTCAGCTGCTCAAGACGGAAAGGAGTTAGGGGCACAAAGGACCCACAGTTGGCTCCCCCAACTGTAGTTCATGTTTTCTGGGTAACTTCACAGTGGTAAAGTGGTGGGCATCCTGCTGCCAGTCAAGAAGAAAGCTACACACAAGTACTGCCTGTGGTCCCTTCCTTTTAGGCCTCAGGCACTTGTCCCCTCTACGACCTTATCCTTGGCCTTGTGGCTCTCCATTACTAGGTCAAGCCACACTCTTCAGTGGTCAAGAGTATTGGCTCTGGAACCAGACTGCTGGGGTTCAAATACTAGCTCTGCTACTTATAAGCTAAATGGCTTTGGGCAGGGGCGCCTGGGTGGCTCAGTCGGTTGAGCATCTGACTCTTGATCTCGGCTCAGCTCTTGATCTCACAGTCATGAGTTCGAGCCCCACATTGGGCTCTGTGTTCGGTGTGGGGCCTAGTTAAAAAAAAAATGGCCTTGGGCAAATTAGAGTTCACCTCTCTTGATGGGGAGAACAATTCTGATATGATAGTGGGAATAAAAGAGTTGCTTTATAATAACCAAAACATTCACTCAATCAGATTGCTATTGAATGCCTCCTGTGTCCCAAGGAGTCTACCAAAAGCTGGAGTCGCAGCTCCAAGCCTTCACTTCCCTCCGCTATGGGAATAATAATAGCAATAATAATATTTATGGCACAGGGGCGCCTGGGTGGCTCAGTTGGTTAAGCGACTGCCTTTGGCTCAGGTCATGATCCAGGAGTCCCTGGATCGAGTCCCGCATCGGGCTCCCTGCTTGGCAGAGAGTCTGCTTCTCCCTCTGACCCTCCCCCCTCTCATGTGCTCTCTCTCTCTCATTCTGTCTCAAATAAATAAATAAATAAAAATCTTTAAAAAAAAATATTTATGGCACAGGATATTGAAAAGATTTAATCAAATGATCCATGCAAAGGACTTAGTGTAGTGCTTAGCACATAATAAATAACTAATATTCACTCTTGTTATTATGACACACACATAAAGCTTTGAACAGTAATAGCCACCATCTGCTGTGCTCCCAGGATCTCCTTGCTTTCTGTTCCCGACAGCCAGTCCCCAGCACCACTGGCCGGCATCCAGGCTGATCTGGCAGTACTGAATACTGGTCAGCATCCATGCTGACTGGTCAGGCATCAGGGGTTCCTGTGGTTAGATGTTTTTAATATCACACAGCCTTCACTTTGGGTCAGAGGCTCTCGGGCATCTCCAGAGAGACAGTATTTTAATTGAATGTTGTGAGAAGAGAAATGCTCTGTTGCTTTGTTGTCTTATAGACACCATCAGGAGAAACTGGAGGCTGGGAGCTGTGATCACCAGCAGGATTCACCAATGCTGGGAAAGCCCGGACAGAAAAGGAAGTGGGTGGAACAGAGACAAGATTTTAGTCAAAAGAAATTGCTAGAGCCAAAACCAAAAGGTCTGTATGTTTCATCAAGACTTACCGACTAAAGTAGATAAAATTCTAGAGCTGAGCAAGCCCCCGTTTGTATTTTCGTTTCGTACTCGGTATGTGTGAGTGCCTGGAAAATGCCCCTTGTTAGTTTTGTGAAGGGAGGGAGGGAAGGAGAGGAAAAGGCACCTCGAGCTTATTTCTCCTACAGTGATCCTTAACCTTTGTGGTAGCCTAGATCTCTTTTGAGAATCTGATTCTGATCAAAACGATGAACCCTCTAGCCAGAAAAACACATTGTTGTGTTCATTTTGATGCAGGGAATTATTAGCAAAGCAGACCCTGGAGCTGTGTTTTCTTCTTTTTCCCAGATGTGCCAAAGGTAAAGCTGCTGTGTGGGGCAGATTTATTGGAGTCCTTTGCTGTTCCCAATCTGTGGAAGAGTGAGGATATCACCCAAATTGTGGAAGACTACGGGCTCATATGTATTACTCGGGCTGGAAATGATGCCCAGAAATTCATCTACGAATCTGATGCACTGTGGAAACACCGGAACAACATTCACCTGGTAAACGAATGGATCACCAATGACATCTCATCCACAAAGATCCGGCGAGCCCTCAGAAGGGGCCAGAGCATTCGCTACTTGGTACCAGACCTTGTCCAAGAATATATCGAAAAGCATGATTTATATAGCTGTGAGAGTGAGGAGAAGAACGTCGGGGTCATCCTGGCTCCTTTGCAGAGGCAAGTTGCGGACGCTAACTCATAAATCCTACAGAATGGTATTTTGGATTTCCAGCTTGGGAATTTGGAACAGTCTGGGTGTTTGTAACTGGGAAGAGGAATTGTGATCCTGTTTCATAAACTAAAGCTTCTTAAAAGTTTGGTAAAAATCAGAAGTAGATTAAAATCAGGTTTATCGTTTTATTGGAAATTGCTAAGATGAAGGTTTTCAATATAGTCTTTTTTTCTTTCTTTTTTTTTTTTAAAGAATGTACAAATCCTTGAATCTTTAAAATGGGATTAATGGCACTAAAATCAGAAGACATTCAGTTTAACTACAAATACGAAGTCAAAAAGGACATTTTGGCTTGACCACGTAAGAGGAACAAAGTGGGAAAAGCAAGAGTCCATTTAAAATGCTAACTTTAGGGGGCGCCTGGGTGGCTCAGTCGGTTAAGCGGCTGCCTTCAGCTCAGGTCATGATCCCAGGGTCTGGGGATCAAGCCCCACATTGGGCTCCATGCTCAGCGGGAAGCCTGCTTCTCCCTCTCCCTCTCCCCTACTTGTGTTCCCTCTCTCCTGTCTCTCTCTCTGTCAAATAAATAAAATCTTAAATAAATAAATAAATAAATAAATAAATAAATAAATAAATAAATAAAATGCTAACTTTAGGGGTGCCTGGGTGGCTCAGTTGGTTAAGCATCCAACTCTTGGCTTGGGCTCAGGTTGCGATCTCGCAGTCAGTCGTGGGATCGAGCCCCTTATCAGGCTGTGCATTCAGCGTGGAGTCGGCTTCAGATTCTCTCTCCCTCTCCTGCTCACTCTCTTTCTTAAGTAAATAAATAAATTAAATCTTCAAAAAAAAAACCGAATATCCTAACTTTAGCTATAAAGGGAATTAACATTTTGTGCATGCTTGTTTCTAGGCATTCTTCACCAAGGGTGGCCAAGGAAATAAGTCTTAAAATAGTGAACTTATAAAATGCACCACTAATCAGTCATCTTCAGCTGTAAACTTGATGCTAATGGTTCAGTCTCTCTGGCACACATCCGAAGTTGGCCAGTTAAGTTTTGCCAAGACACATATGCCTGGAGCTCCACCTTTGGCCTCAAATGATCAGAAAGGTGCACCTGTGTTTCTGCTGCCCACGGCAGAGGTAGAGAAGCAGTGTGGGTGTTAGTAACTGGGGACAGGAATTGTGAACCTGTTTCATAAACTAAAGCTTAGAAGTTTGGTAAAAACCAATAGTAAATTAAAATCAGGTTACACGTTATGCATGTTCTCTCAGCACAGCCTCTGGTGGCTCTGGCCATCTGCCATCTTGCTGTCTTCAGGAATAACTTCAGGGATGATGTCCTGCTACCTGGAACAGAGAGAACCACAGAGAATGAGGGAACTTATTCAAGGATTTTATTAAATATCAGTGCTCTTAGCCTTTTTTTTTTCTTCCTCTTGGCCTTTCTTAATAGCTTAATAAACCAAAGATGAACAGAGATCCTACAAACATGGGAAATGCCGCAATGGATGAGCTCAGCAGTCCCTCCCGCTCAGAATTTTGGGCACTGACAAATGGCTGGTTGGAAGAACGCTCCATGATCTCAGTCTAAAACTCTCTTGAGCTTCTGAAGAGCCTTGCTGCTTCTGTTCCAGCCCTCTGTGAATCTGCCATTTGTGAATTTAAGCAGAAAAAGGGTCTACGTTCTTACTCTTTTCCCCATGTCCTTTTATATGCACTTTAACCAAAGTAAAACTCCCAAATAATAATTGAGGTCATAGCCTTTTTTTATGTTACAAGCACAAGCTTGTGATACAGTTGGATGCTGATTAAAATTTTGTGAAGGTTTTACCAACTGGTAAAGCAGTAAGACTAGAAATAGCTTTTTATAAAGTAGTTTTATGATTCAGGAAAATAATCCTGTGATAGAAACAGGACTAAAGTTAAATTTCTCATGACAGTACGATAATTTACTTTTTTGCAATTTATATTTCATACCTACACCTAGATGAAGGGCTTATGACTCTGTGGGAGGAAAAAATACTTAAAACTATGCAGTTGTTCAGTCAAATCTGAATACACAGCCTGCAAAGGGACAATGTGAAGGCCAGCCCACGTATCTTCTGCAGCTACTGACTTTCTTACTGAAGCCAGCAGGCCAACTTGACAAAGACCGGGAGGGGTGAAGAGGCTGCCACCAGTGGGCTTCAGTCTCTGCTGACGGAGTGACAGGTTAGAGTCTCAGATCGTAGAGATGAGGGTCATTTCTCCCCCTCCTTAGCTTTTTGGAGTTGAGAGTTGAGGCGGTCCTGAAAAAGAACCATCTAGAAGCAGATGAAGCTACTGAAGGGTGTAACTTTGATTTCTGCTCCTGGAAGACTGCACTTAGCTCATCTGGTGTGTGTACGGACTGCAGAATGCTAGAAATGCTAGAAATTTCTGTTATTTTGTAGAAACTTCTCTTATACCATGGTGCCTTCCTACTTAGAAGTGCCCAACCATGCTCAGCTGTGAGTATATTGACCTCAGGACCCACTGGGTAAAGCATTTGAGGACCTCCCAGGAGACTTGGTAATAGTGAAATGATCCTGTTGTTTCACTATTTATGGATCAATACCTTTGTACACGGAACAAGCTGCTTTGAGCTTTGTCCTAGTACCAAGGATGCTGCTAATGCCACAGCATAATGACATAGTTTTGGGTGACCCCAAGGGCAGAATTTCCTGTTTTGATAATGGAAATTAGAACAATGAACTTCACAGGGGAATAAATATTAATAATTGTGACTTCCATTGAGGAAGAGGAAAATACGCCACTATTTCCTATTATGGCTTTTTCATAATCTGCTTTTGTAATGTGAATTTTGAGTTTAGCAAATGTGTCAAGCTGGTGTTTTGTGTGTTTGATGCTGGTGTTTTTTATGTGTTGTACTCCTTTACCCCTTACATCGTGTAATTTGAGTGCAGCAAATGAACAAAAGTCTTTTACTGGCAGCTTAATTCGGTTGAATGTACAACATCTGGAGAATTTTTTGTTGTTTACCTGTTTAGGGGACAAGTGTGAACAGTAAACCATTTAGATAAAGAGGAATGGGTTCTCCTTGATGATCAGGGTAGAGAGATTGAGCCAGAGGCATGATTTAGGCCCATCTTGCATCAAAGGATGCTCTTTCTTTTTCTGTCATCTTGAGGGTCTCCCCACAGGGTGGAGGGGAGCCGTCGGGGTCAGCATGCCTGGCAGCAGGGGGGCTACTTTTCTTACCCCAAACTCTGATTCACTTCTGTCAGCCCAGAAGTCACCATATCGTGAAATGGGCTCCTTTAGCATTGACTTCTGGGTGCCACAGGACGTCCCTTCCACTGCCATCCTCATACCCGTTCCCACAGGCCTCATGATCTAGAACATTCATCACAGCGTCCACCCACCTGTGAGGCTGTACAGTGTCCATCTCTGAAATCTGTACCTAGCTTACCAGTGGTGCTGTTTGAACTTCAGAATGCCAACACTTCCTGAGCACCTACGGTGTGCTGGGCGGGTGTGAGTCGGAAAGAAACAAGGCACAGTTAGGTGACTGGTATAAATGACACACCCGAGGCTCGAATGAGCAGTTTGTCTTCAGAGCCTGGGCTCTTAACCTCTTTATGCCTCATGTAACATATTACTCTTCAAGGAATGAAGTTGTAGCCAAATCTTGGCGTTTTCATCCACCCCAAGTGGACGAGTACAAATAAGCACACTTGCAACATATGGTAGTCTGACGGGGACATGTGACGTGTTCTGAACGCACAGAAGGACCCAGTGGAGCCTGCCCGGTGTTAGCAGTTCCTTGGAATAAGGGCAGTGAATGCCCAGAGCGGGGAGGTGGTAGGAGCCATGGTTCACTCTTCATCAGCAGAAGCAGGAAGAACGGCACCCAGACGCCCAGGCCAGTACCGCTGTGCCACCGGGCAGCACTGTTCCCTGCAAGACAGAGCAGAAGCAGCTTCTGCCCCAGACGCGGGTTGCCAGCGCCAGGCGTGCCAGCCAGCTGACTGCGGGGGGAGGGCGGGGGGTGGTCACTGACTCCCAGAGTCTCCTTCTGTAGAATAATGCAGTGATCTCTGGGGTCCCTCCAGCTGTGAAATGAGATCAGCCCGATGGAGAGAGTTGGCACCTGTCCCTTCTCCTCCGTGTGACCAGGAAGCATTTCTTGGAACACTATTATTATGTGAAGTGCCAACGGGGAGCACATGAGTACAAGTCGGTCTCTGCTGCCAGGTCGCCTACAGTTAGGTGGCGAGAAAAACAAAGACTACATCTGGAGCATCAGCAAGGGGCTCTCCGGTATCACTGCTGAGGGTTTCCTAAACGTGAGCGCCCTGGGGCCCTGCCGGCCAGGAAATCAGGGTGGAGGGCCCTCCAGGGGGAGCTCCTTACACTGGGAACGATTTGTCATTTGTCCGAAGGCCAAGGAGTCCTATTTCTGTTCTGTTTGGGGGGCTTTTGTTTTTCTAATGCGGGCAACCTTACGCGGGAGGAACAACCTACAAGGAGATACTGAGAAGGCGTGCCATGCCACCGTATGTTACCACAGTTGTACGAAAGGCTCGCAGGAGGGTCTGAGGAGCCGAGGACAGTCAAGGAAGAAAGGTATTTTTTTTAAAAAATCGTTTGCCCTATTCGGTCCTCCCCAAGGTCTCAAGAACAAACCGCTGCAAGGGAAATCAGAATAAGTGAGAGCCCCAGATCTGGACGGCCTCATTGGATCTTTCTCTCTGCGGCACAACACAGAAGAGCAAGGCTGAGGGGCCCAGTGGGCTGTGTTTGGCCCAGCTCCTGGAAGCAAAGTCCCGGCTACCTTCTTCAAGGTACATTCTTGGCATCCAAAGTTTCTCTGGATTAATAGGCTTTAAAATAGTGCAGCTAGAAGTATCACTCCTAGACCTGAGCTTCTGGCCACATTGTTCTCGTTGAAATAGTAGTACTCAGGGCGCCTGGGGGGCTCAGTCGGTTAAGTGTCCGCCTTCGGTTCAGGTCATGATCCTGGAGTCCCGGGATGGAGTCCCGCATCGGGCTCCCTGCTCCGCGGGGAGCCTGCTTCTCCCTCTCCCACTCCCCCTGCTTGTGTTCCTGCTCTCACTGTGTCGCTCTCTGTCAAATAAATAAATAAAATCTTAAAAAAAAATAAAAATAAAAAAAGTAAAAAGCCGTATTTTTAAAATTTCTTGAAGTATTTTTTTTAGATTATTTTTTCTTTTTTCTTTTTTTAATTTAAATTTTAGGTAGTTAACATACAGTGCAGTATTGATTTCAGGAGTAGAATTCATCACTTACATACAACACCCAGTGCTCACCATAACAAATGCCCTCCTTAATACCCATCACTCATCTAGCCCGTCCCCACCCACTTCCCTCCAGCAACCCTCAGTTTGTTCTCTGTAGTTGAGAGTCTCTTACGGCTTGTTTCACTCTCTCCAAAGCTTGCTTTATTTATGAGGGAGAGAGCAGTGCGCATGAGTGGGGGGGGGGGTGCGGCGCAGAAGGATCAAATCCTCAAGCGGACCCCGCCCGAGCTGAGCAGGAAGTCCGACATGGGGCTCAGTCCCACAACCCATGAGATCATGACCTTGAGCCAAAACCAAGAGTCAGAGGCTCA